GATTTTTTTTATTTTTTTTAGTTAATTCAAGTTCCGAAAATAATATTTAAAAAAACAATTTTTAGATTTTTCCATTTATTTTGCATTTTAAAATTATTTTTTAGAATATGTCAGTGTAATATTCTATTTAGAATATTTCACGTATTTTTCAAAAAAAAAAAAAAACGGGATTCTTTTTTTATTTTTTTTAATTTTTTTTAGTTAATTCAAGTTCCGAAAATAATATTTAAAAAAAGAATTTTTGGATTTTTCCATTTATTTTGCATTTTAAAATTAGTTTTAGATTTGGTCTCACGGTCTCACAAAATTAGAATGGTCTCAAATGAACCTGAACGTGTGTGTATATATATATATATATATATATATATATATATATATATATATATATATATATTATATATATATTAGAAATTATAAAATAGTTTGTGATTTAAATACTAAAATAATTTATTTATAAATATTACTTTTTTAGGTTTGGATTTGAGAAATATCCCATGGCTATCAAAAGGGATATATTATGCGTCTACTAAATCACATCTAAATGTTAAAAAAATCACATAAATCAGAACCCTAAACCAAAACTGAGACGAAAACCGAAAGTATGGTTTTTAATTTTCCAAAAACTGTAGATTTTCAATGTAATGCAGTTTTTAATTTTCCAAAAGTCTAACTGAACCGCATCAAATTTAATACATTTAATAATTTGTATTTAGTTAATAATATATAATATGATTACTTAAGAGCAAGGTTGTCAAGATCGTGATCCTACCTAGGATCGTTTTTGGGTTTGCAAAATCGGAATCGTAAGATCGGGATCGAGATCCTAAGATCCCACAAAATAGAATATAATTTTAATTTATAGTATTAATCATAAAAAATATTTCAAACATTTAATTTTTCGTTCAAAAGTTATAAAAATTTTAAAATATTAGTCATAAGTCACAATAAAAATGATAAATGGTAGATTGGTAAATGGTAAAAGACATAAAATGGTAAAAAAAATTCATTTGAAAAAAAAAAATTAAAGGAAGGTAGGATCGGATCGGATCTCGATCCTACGATCCTACCTACGATCTTACGATCCTACCTGCGATCATACCCAAAATACGATCCTTTTACGATCCAGATCGTTTTTCATACGTAGGATCGTACGATCCTACGATCAGGATCGCGATTTTGACAACCATGCTTAAGAGATTGGTTTGGTGGTGTTTTGAAATTTCTTGATATGGTTTCATGGTATTTTAACGGTTAACGGTAGTTATTGAAATTTGACGTTTTTAAGATGTGAATTTTTAAGTAATTAATTTATTAGTTTGTTAGTTTTTTAAGTTATTATCTTATATCTTATTGATTTTTATATTATTACAACTAATACTCCTTAAACTCTTAAAACCGCTTTTTATATATATATATATATATATATATATATATATATATATATATATATATATATATATATATATATATATATATATATATATATATATATATATATATATATAGGTTCAGGTTCATTTGAGATCATTCTAATTTTGTGAGACGTGAGACCAAATCTAAAAATAATTTAAAATGCAAAATAAATGGAAAAATCCAAAAATTCTTTTTTTAAATATTATTTTCAGAACTTGAATTAGCTAAAAAAAAATATAAAAAAATATAAAAAAATCCGTTTTTTTTTTTTTGAAAAATACGTGAAATATTCTAAATAGAATATTACACTGACATATTCTAAAAAATAATTTTAAAATGCAAAATAAATGGAAAAATCTAAAAATTCTTTTTTTAAATATTATTTTCGGAACTTGAATTAACTAAAAAAATAAAAAAAAAATTCTATTTTTTTTGAAAAATACGTGAAATATTCTAAATAGAATATTACACTGTACATATTTTAAAAATAATTTTAAAATGCAAAATAAATGGAAAAATCAAAAAATTCTTTTTTTAAATATTATTTTCGGAACATGAATTAACTAAAAAAATAATAAAAAAATAAAAAAATATGTCTCACAGTCTCACAAAATATAGGTGGTCTCAAATGAACCTAACCTATATATATATATATATATATATATATATATATATATATATATATATATATATATATATATATATATATAAACTACACACGGTTAAAAATCGCACAAAAACAATACACCAAACCATGCAGTTAAAAACTACAACCACAACCGCATAATTGCACAACTACACTAGCTGCATCATTCAACTTCAAAATTTTAATAACCGCATTTGCAGTTAGCAATTCGGTTTTGGCCGCTTCGAACTGCACCATACTTGCTCTAGTTGGGACAATATAGAGATTAGAATGAAGAAGTTCTAATAACAAACACCTCATTCATGTAGAGATCTATGTTGATGACTTACGATTAGCACATTTCAAATGAACATGAATCCAAAACTTAAATTCTTTTGGGGTCTTCAAGTGAAACATGTGGAAAGAGGTATTTATCTTCATGAGGAGAGATATGTTACAAAGCTTCTTACAAAATATTTTATGGAAATTTATGCCATCGTAAAGATACATGTGGCCTTAGACACAATTTGTCTTCATATCTATTAGGAGAACCTAATGATCAAAATAACTATCATGGAATAATTGGTTTGCTCCTCTACCTTACTGTCACGCATCCATATATAATGTTTTTAACATTTTTGTGTGTTAGATTTCAAGCTAATGGGAAGATGTCTTACTAAACCACAATGAAGAAAAATTTTAGGCATCTTTGAGGGACAAAAGCTTTGGGAACCTGGTACCATGTTGTTGATGACTTAAATCGCAAGCTTCCATAGATTCAGGCCATGTAGGTGTAAAGTGAGTCGATCCAACTCGTGAGATACTCGAGAATTGAGACCGACTCGAAATCGTTTCAGCTCAATTTGAGTTGAGCTCGAGCTACTCGAGTACATTATCGAGTCGAGCTTGAGTATTGGAATACTCGGCTCGTGAAGTTCGCAAGCTTAATAGATTATTGTTATATTTACACATTTACCTTTTGTTTTATTTAAATATTATAGAGTCGAGTCGAGTCGAGCTAACGGGCTTAATTGCATTTCTATTGTAAGTTGAGGTAATTTTATTTTCTTAGTAGTTAATCGAGTCGAGTCGAGTCGAGCTTGAAAGTGTCGATTACTTTATCAAGCTCGAGCTCGAGCTTGAATTTAAGGCTCGGGTGAAATTTCAAGTTCGAGTTATTTAGTCGAGTTTCGAGCTTAGTATGCTCGACTCGGTTCGATTACACCCCTAGCCTAGCCTTACCGAGTTAGTTTATTTGACCTCATAGAGTTATCTTTAACCATGTTTCTCTCAAGTAATCTAACTCTACTTTGCAGAGTTACTCTAACTTCATCCCATATAACTAGTTTAACTTTACCTATCAGAGTTAAATAAACTCTACCCCATGGTTAATAAATCCAAGCCTCAAAGGCCATGTACTTTTATGAGACCCTAAGTTCTTAAGAAACAATTAACTACGCCATTTCAAAGTTTTTATCTAAATTAACTAATTCTTCATGTCCATTTAATATGTGTTATAAAGTCCTCTCGTCTAATTTGTCAATAATTTTGAAGCACGCATCATATTTTTAAAAGAAGTTTTACTTGAGAATAACATTTAACTAAGTAACAATGATGGATCTTTTCTCAAATTATAAAAGATGATAAATTATTATATATAAAATTATAATAAAAACAATAAAATTGCTAAATAGTCCCTACCAAATTAAATATTTTATGTTAAAGCTTAAAACTAAATGTGATAGAATATTTAATAAGGTTAAGTGATTAGTCAATAAATGATATAGATTTTCAATTTAAATATAGTTATAGAGTAAAACAATTTAAAGAAGTTGATTGTACAAAAGACCACCAAAAACAACACTTAGTAGTATATAACAAGTGCTTATTAAAATTTATCAAGAATTTTCTATATTCATGGAAAAGAACACTTTAATAGAGTTAAAAGTAGTATAATGACCTTTGGGGAAAAAACTTACATTGGCAATTTCTTAACATGAACTTGCAAGTGTTGCTCCCAATTTGACATACATCAAACAGAAAAACTTGCAAATCAGAAATGAGAACTTCTCACAAATTCCCTTTTGTTGAACTTGAACACCCCGCTCCCGAGTTATAGCAAAGAAAAGAAGAGAAGAGAAAAGAAAGTAAGGAGAGAAAAGAAGAGAAAAGAAAGGAAAAATAAATTATCATTTGTGCTCCCGAGTTGGAGAGAAATGGAAGGAAAGTTAAACATTTTGTTCTTTCTTTTCAAATCCTCCCAAATCGGGAGGAAATGTAGGAGGGAAAGTTTTCCTTTCATTTCCTTCCACTTCCTTCCTTTAATGAAACTCGGAAGCACCATTATCTCTTGATTTCCTCTCATTTCCTTCCATTTCCTTTCTTTTCTCTCTTTAAGTTGAACTCGGGAGCGGGGTGGAAATCAACTCAACCGATTTCCTTTGTATGCCCTTGGTAATTTCTTGTAAATTAATGCTTTTCTATCTTCAATTTAACATATCTTCACATATACTTTACAAATTAACCCTTCAACTATACAATAACTACAAATTTAGCCCTCAAGCTTTAATCTTTACATATTTGCCCTCACACTTTCATAGATTACCACTTCAGTCCCTCAACAACCAACATGTTCAAAACAATATACTTGCAAACAATTTTATAAAGTTGCCATGTCATGCCACCAAAATCCCCTATCTTAGTTACTACTTCTAACACCTAATGATGTATTTTCTACATAACTTGACATAATTCTAACAATCATACACACACAATACCACACACTTCACTTTCATATCATCGAATCGCAAAAACAAACTTTTCTTGATCATATCATCACAAACAATAAAATTGCAATTTTTTTTATATCCAATCATTTTAAATCAATAATATATATGCAAATATTGTTTTAATAGTAAAAAAGAAGTGCTCATATTCAAGTAAGTTTTGCAAACTAAAAACGGATCATGAATGCTCAAAAATTTCTTGATATAAATTCAAAGATAACAAAACTTGTCATTTGAATGTCAACTTACTTAAAGGAATCAAAATTTTACACCAAAGTGACCACATTTTCTATTTTTGCTCATTGAACAACAATTTCAACAGCAAAACAGATAATAATAAAAAAAAATAAAAAAAACCACCAAACAACCAATCCAAACCATCCATTTTGAGTAATAGAAAAAGATCATGTGACAAAAAGTCTTAATGATGCCAAATTGTGTGATTGCAGCCCTTGTGTTATGAACAGATTTTCACCTTATTTTTGCTTCTGGATTGAAATGTCTTTTTTGTGCCCAAAATCCTCTGGTAGATATTAACCTAAAAAAACATTAGAAAAGTGGGAAATGTTACATAACCAAATCATGTGATGTTTCTTTTTTACTTGAGTTGAACACATAATATTTCAAGCTATACATGTTTTTTTCTTTATACTTAATCTTGATAAAATGACTTAATGAGTTAAGTCGAAAAAAAAAACATGGCTTAATGTATTAAGACACTAACCCTTTACCTATTTACCCTTGTGTTTAGTGACAAGCAAACTAGAATGAAGTAAGTAACTTAAGCACGAAGGGTATAATTGTAAAAAAGACTGACCTTTCAACGGGTGTGATCATTTTGATTCTGAGAATCATCATCTTTAGAATCAATGCAAGGAGTGAGAGGAGGAAAAGAAGGAACAGCTTTCAAAATAAACTTCCTCCCACTTTTCAAAGAAGTTGAACCAAGTTCATGCAACCGAATCCTAGGTGGAGAAACTCGTTTCTTATTTGGGGAACGTACTTTGACTTTGTTGACTTCATTAAAAGATTCTTTAAGAATCTTGGGTGTGTCATCATCGATGATGTCATACGGTTTTGTCCCACCAAAGAGGGTCCCACGGAAACACATGGAGGAAGAAGAGAACAACGGAGGACCGGGTGAGGGTGAGAATTCATCTGTGAATTCAAGATTTGGGTTTTGGTATGATTCGGTTTCTTGATCTAAAGGGATCATTTCAAGATTCTTGTCAAAGGTGGAATCTTTAGGGGTAGTTATGTAATTTAGTGGAGGGTAGAAAGTGGATTCGGATTCTGGTGAGGGAGAGGGGAGGTATCTTCCGGAAAAAATACGAGTTTTTGATGGATCTTTTCCATGGCTAAAGAAAAAAAAAATTTGAGAAAGATCAAGTTAGAACTAAATGCAAGAAATAACTAAATAGAAAGAAAGTAAAATGTTGAATGTTATATATAAATATAATACACAAAAATAAATGAAAATATGTTGCTATTTCTTGCATTTAGCCTTTAAAATTGAAAAGTGTGTGTTATGAAATTGAGTAAAACATCTTACTTGGAATGTTGAAATGATGGTGTTTGGGGAGTCAAATTGTGAGGCTTATTATAGAATTCAGGAAGAGAGGATTTTGTTGACATGATGGGACCCACACCTACTTTGACCATGTCATCAAACGAATCGATTAACTTCTCGTTAATGACTTCGATTCCCATTTCTCTATTCATGCCACTTCCTGAAACGCATTTTATTGAAAAGAAAAATTAAATTTGATTTGATAACGAAAACAGAAAATCACAGATTTAAAAAAAAAAGTAACAGATAAAATTGCTAAAAGAAATATTTATTACCTTTTTTCGCGCCATAAATATTTTGACAACCTTCACAACGACATCCATCCGAGCATCCAACATTAGACTATTCCAAAACAAAAAAAAAAAAAAAATCCAATTACTCCAATAAAAAAACAAATAAAAAAAGCATAATATTAACAAAGAACATACCTGATAACACTCACAGTACTTTTTCAAACACATTGACTTTTTGCAATTACAACCCCTTTTGTGTCTTCCTGCAAGTGGAGTCATTTCTTCCGCATCCTCCTACAAACAATCACTAATAATATTATAACAATTTATAAATTGAAATAAATGAACATTGTAGATTATTTAATATCGATAAAGAAAAAATGTAACGATGTTTGAGTAAAGAATCGTAAGTATGTGGATAGCATGTGTAAGGAAAATACAATGCGTCTGCTAACTGCTAAGACTCAATTCAATTCCTTGACCATTTTTGGTTGGGGCAAATTGGTAATTTTGGATTTTTGGTGAAGAAAATGTATACATACCAGAATTTTGTTTTTTGGAGGAACGATTTTAGGAGCAAACGCAAGCGGATTTCTCGATTCGATTAGTTGTCTTGTTTCAAGAACAGTTTCTTCGTATTCAGGTCTGTTGAAACACCCTTGACAAGAACAAGGACCCGCGCAATAGATTCCAGCTGCAAAGCAATCGCAGTAACTGCATGGAATTTTGTTATTCCGCAAGGGTATTTACGTCTTTTCACAAACGTCGGTAATGTTAGATTGACTTACAGTTTCAAGCACTTGCTCTTCTTACAATTGCAGCGTTTGCAACCATCGCCATTGCTCTCTGTCTTCTTTCTGAAAACGAAGATGAAATTAGTGTATAAACGAGTCGATGAAAGTATGAAGAAATAAATACCTTTTCTTTTTGGGATTTGGTCTCTCATCTTGAACGTGATCAAATTTTTCTTGATGTTCAATTATCTTCACAGATTTTGGATTACTAAAAGAAGGATGAGATACAGGAGTTTCATGCATAAATTCCTCACTTGTAGCCAAAACATTTCCATCTAAATCTGAATTAGAAGGGCAATGCATGTCATTTTGCATCGAAGAACTTTTCTCTAGGGCATTTGAATAGCTACCCTTGGTTGATTTAATGCTTATATTCCCAAAAGGTCTAGCGTTAACGATGCTATTTAAATGCAATCCAATACCCGAGGGCTTTGAAACATTTAGATTAACATTCATAGTATTTTGAATATTGTCACAAGAAGATTCTACAGCTTCTGATTCGGTGGCATTAATTGAATTTGAACCAGGGGTATTTTCGACAATTCTTTCTTGAGACATCTCGAATTGAAGGCGTCTTCTCTTGCCAAGTTGACTTTGACCAACCTACAAAGAAAGTAGCAATTATCGTATAAGATATATGGGATAATGACACTAAATGATTGTTTTTGGAATTTTGTATTCTTTTATTCCATAAAAATTTGTATTACTTTTGTTGAACAATTCTATTAGAAACAATATCACTAGAACTTGTTTACTAAAACTATTTCAAGTTTTCAACATTAAAACAAAACTGAAACTTGTTTACTAAAATGCATATTCTATAACTTGCCACAATGTAACACAAAGACATAATCAAAACTTTAACTTTGGAGTTCCAATTGTTCTAAAAAGTTAACCAAGAATAATACTCTAACTTAACACCTAAAAGTATAAAAAAGAATGTATAAGAATGTCACAACACTACACTCACTAGAAAGGCAACATTATGCCCTGTGACTTATAAATAATTCAATGTTTTGAATATTATCTTTAGAAATGCATATTGCATTCTTGGAATCAAGTTGATATGATGACTATAATGAGGCTCATTATTAATCTATGTATCAAGTATCAACAAGCTAATTACTATGAACGAGTTTGTTGACATTATAAATTTGTGGCCAATTGTTCAAAAACAATACAATGAGTAAATTAAGTGGCTTTTTGAGGATCCATATTTCCCAAAACATGGTTCAAGTTACATGAGTGACTCTCAAACAATGTGTATGAATCAATAAACCATGAGTATCAAAAAAAATAAAAATAAAAAAAACCTGGGAATGTTGTTCCATCATAGTTGCAATGGGTTGGTTGACAAAAACAGGCTGCATATGCTGAGTCAATCATCCAGAAAAAATTCATGAGACATGAGTCATTTATGCAATGCAAATGCTATAGATATATGATACATATACAGTTATACAGATTAATGTTTGTTGTCTTAATGAAGCAAAAGGGAATAAATCGTATGCAATATGAAAACCTACCTGAGCCACTCGTTGGTCATATTTTTCTTGAGATATATTGTTCACCAAGGCATTCGATGATTGAAAGCTTCTATTTTTTCCATCATTTTCAATAGGCTGAGGACAAGATGGTAAATTTCCTACATGGTCCTCTTTTGATTGCTCAACAAATGTAGGTGATGCCACCTCATCACTTCCCTTATCATCATCTTCATTGTCATAGGTTTCCATAGGTCCCTTTGTGTTTGTTGAATCAGCCACTTTGGGAGGGGCATATTCAGAATTATTCATATTTGAATTTGTCAAGGGTGTAAGAGGACATGAGGACCTGAAGATAGATTAGAACATGTGATTATTATTAAAATGAAAGAAATTGTGTATGAAATATAGATACTCAAATGATATTAAACCTTTTTAAATCAGTAGAGTGTTGATGTGCATGGATTCGAGGTGATGTGAACACAAGAGGAGGAGAATTAAGCCCAGAAAAAACTTGTGTAACTGATGTCGCCTTAACAGGCTTTATAGGTGAGAGATTGTTGATGTAATTAAAGATAGGAGAATCCTGAAACATGCAGAACAAAAATATGTTATCAAAAACTAAGGAGAATTACACAGATTGTGATTTACAATTGCCATTTGTCTAAATATCAATTGAAACACTGGCTTCTAGACTCAACTTTCATATAGTAACATTATGTAATTCTCGAATACCCATTTCAGAAATGCAAGCAAATCAAATAAAACAGAACACGAAACCAGTGGACATAGATGGAGTACCATAAGTGTACACACATGTATCTCAGAAATGTACGAAGGAATTAAACAAAACCCATCAAAATCAATTGCTCTAAAGTGCAATTTACACCACAAACTCATACCTAAATCTAAAAGATCAATTTATGCGATATGACAGTTACCTATAGATTGAGAGACTCAAATTCCAAATTCAACCTGCTTCAGAAGCAACCTAAACTAATACGTAAAACCCGTTAAGCACTAGAAACAACCAACAGACTTTGCACACGATTGAACCAAAAAAACGTATTTCGTCTCGGAATTGAGATGAAAAACAAAATGCAGATTATCGGAATAGATAATTAGAAATGAGATTTTGTTATCTTTACTTGGAAAGCAGCAGATTGTGGTGAGGTGGTGGAGGCGATGATTGATATGGTTGATTTATTTGGTTTTTCAGGTGATCCCATTTCGTGAAAAAACCCTAACCCTCATATACTCTCTATGCATCCTATCACTCTATTTCGTTTCCCCTGAAATTCTTTTAAACGCTGTGGGGTAAAAATTAAAAATGGTTTTTCCCTCTTAATCTTGGTGAAACCGAATTATAATATCACATTAAAATGAAAGAATAAATTTCGTTTTTTTACTTAATTAAATTCAGAAAGTAAATTAAAATGAGAGAAATGTGGATGAAAAAAAGGGGCGGGATTTTGAAAGATCTTCTTGGGCGGGAAGGTTATTATTAGGGTAACTATTACATTGACTTTTGGCCCAAGGAACATTTAAGCCCACTCTTGCCATATATACTTACCCTAAAAAAAAAAAAATTAATTGGTTTAAAAGATATCATCAACTTTTTTTATAAGCATTTCCAATCAAATGTCAAATTTTACTTTTTATATTAACTTTTGTGTTTAATATGTGAATACATGCATTCTTTACTATTTGTTAGAAATGGTTGATATACATTGAAGATGTTGTGAACATGTTGATTGAAGCACGTGTAAATATTTTTTTTTAAAACATATTTCATCCGAATTATTGGACGTCTATCTCCTAAGATACAATAGTCGAAATGGTTCTTCTTGATCGGCGAACATCACTAGACCTTAACTTTACCTCGTTTCTTCAAGTTTGAGATTATGTAATGGCAATATGGAGCACAGTGGGCATGTGCAAACATATTTTTCTTAAAACATATTTTGTTTGTACTATTAGATGTGTGTCTCTCACGATCAAGGTTCTAAAAAGCTTGTCATGGCTCCGTCATGGCACGCCACGACTCCAAGGCTTGCACCTGCCGTCAAGTTTTGTCAAAATGTCGCCTTAACTCATATATTTGTATAAAAATAAATAATAGTTGAAAATACATATAAAAATATTAATTATATAGAAAATTTTCGCCTTAAGTCACGCCTTACAAACGTCATGACTCGCCAAGACTCAGAAAAATTTGAGGCTTGACATTACCGCCAAGTCACGCCTTACGTTATTTAGAACCATGCACAGGATACAACAATCAAAAATTGTTCTTGATCATCGAACATCACTAGACCTTAACTTCAGCTAGGTATAAAACTTTAGTTCGTTTCTTCAAGTTTTAGATTATGAAACAACATTATTATGGAGCGCAATGGAAACCAAAACATTTTTTCTTATATTTTTATGATTTCTTTGTATATGTTGATCATTATATGTATACCAAAACCATATTGGTGATTAACTTAGTACAAAGACACAATCTATAACCAACAAAAGTTTTTAACAAACACCATTATGATGTTTAACCGGCTTTTAAACACATATCCTAATTAAAAATATGTTTAATTCATTTTACAAATGAAATTGAAATCTATGTGTAATTCTTTTTAGACAACCCGTTCATTTTCAACATTATTGAATCAAATACTAGCACTTTAAGCTTCATTTTTTATGATCAATTTTTCATACATCCAATCTCTATTTTCGATATACAATATCCTGCAACAAAAAGTATTTTGAAGGATAACATACACCTACAAATAAAATCATTTCAATATTGTTCAGGACATCAATTGTTAAGTTCCAAACAAATAAAAGCTAGTTTTTCCAACATTTTTTTTATCAAAATTCATCTTTATGGAGATTATCAAGCAATTAACATGAATTATGTTTTCTACTAATCATTTTACCTAGTAAAGGTTTCCCACAAGATTATTATGATGCACATCAAACATGGAGGACTTCGATGGAACTAAATCGATATATTTATTCCACTTAAAAAGGCTTGGGTGCCTTAAAGAAAATTTTGCAAGATGAAAAAATATCACATCCCAAAAATCCACTTATAAAAATTTGTCACACCCCCGAACAAGATGGCAGAAACGTCCGAGGGCTCGTGTGACTTAAATTGAAATATAATCACAATGTATATACATGAAACATAACATAAACATCGCCATCCATCAATATATTACAACCGACATTATTCACATCAAGTAGCTTGTCTAAATATTACATTTCCACAGCAAATTGATTGATAGTTTTTCAAAACATAACATCCTAATACACTTGGTATCGTTCTTCAGTTTATTTGTTACTTGAGAATACAAGTTATTTTGAAAACGTTAACATATGGAATGTTGGTGAGTTCATAAGCAGGATTGATATGAAAATGTTTTGTGCAGTTTATAAAAACCCAGAAAATCTGATATTTTCTGAAACGACAATTGTTTATACAAAAGTGTGAAGATCCATAGGTTTATGCATGAATGATTTCAAAAGCGTGTATAAATGAGAAGTTTTGCATTATAGTTATTGAAAATACAAGTGAATAGTGTTGATTTCCCCGAAAAACCCGATGTTTTCCGATAAAATAATATGATTGTTTCGAATTATTATACCATCACAACGAATGATTATGAATTCCCTTGATTACTTAGATTGCATTGAATTTATTATGTGAGTCGTTATAACCATGCATGATAATGACTAGTTTGTCTGTCTTGGCATTCTATTGAACGCTGAAATTGATCTTAAGATTTTGTCACCCTAGACTGGCCGAGTCTAACTGTAGCGAACAGCTAAGGTGTGGGGGAGTCACCCCCGTATAGATCTATACACAAACTCTCGCTCTCCCTCCAAGAGACTTTGATTATAACTACAGACTACGGCCGACACTTAAAGGTGTCACCCGTTATTACTCACTTAATCCAAATGAATTGGATTACCCTTGATTAACGATGTGATTTTGTTTACTTGAATAGAAGGTAAGTGAAACGACCCAAAAACACGACCCAAAAATTTTCGTTTTTCAATATAATCAAACCCATAATATAAGTATCATAACATAAAACATACGCGATGAATCCCCAAAACGAAATAAAATATTGTGCGGAAAACTGTATCATACTACATCAATCCAAAACATCAAAAGACATCCCCAGGATAAAAGCTATGTTGTGGTGTGTGCGATGCTGTCACCCCGAGCTCTTCCCTTTGCTTGCGGAAGTACCTGAAACCCAAAACTGAAACTGTAAGCACGAAGCTTAGTGAGCTCCCCCAAACTACCACATACCATACAATAACATATAAACACATATTGGGCCTTGCCCACTGCATCGGGCCGAAGCCCGGAAACTGCATCGGACCGAAGTCCGGAACTGATTGGGACCTTGTCCCCTGCATCGGACCGAAGTCCGGAACTAACTGCATCGGACCGAAGTCCGAAACTGACTGGGACCTTGTCCCCTGCATCGGACCGAAGTCCGGAACTAACTGCATCGGACCGAAGTCCGGAACTGACTGGGACCTTGTCCCCTGCATCGGACCGAAGTCCGGAACTAACTGCATCGGACCGAAGTCCGGAACTGTCTGACTGAACATGGCATAGCATAACACATCAACTAGCATAACACATATACGACATGCTACATCGGGCCGTGGCCCGGAACACATAATACTTAACACATAAAACATAGCACACAACTCCTGTTCGAACCACGAAGGCATCGAACATACCAACCACTGCGTCGGACCTAAATCCGGAAACTACTGCTAACTGAACGGGCCGGCATTGTGGCCTTAGACCCGTTCTTACTGGAAGGAAACTCACCTCGTAAGCTGGCTGCTGAGTGTGTGGCTCGGAAAGCTAACGGCGGCTGCTCCTGAATCTCCTCGGCTACAAGTCCATAAACACACTCAATCAAATACTAAACACTGCGCTTGGGGTAAAATGACTCTTTTACCCTCGGTCAAAGTCAATTATCTTTTGGGCTGACTCGCCGAGTTGGGCCACCCAACTCGCCGAGTCCCACTCTCACTTTTCACTCTTACTCACTGCTATTCGTCGAGTCTGGCATCGACTCGACGAGTACCCTCTTGATCCAAGAACTCAGACAATCTTCATCCGACTCGCCGAGTCGGATGAACAGACTCGACGAGTTGTTCTTGATCCCAAAAAGATTGCTTTGGACTCGCCGAGTTGATGAACAACTCGCCGAGTCCCTCCATCACTAAGTTCACCCTCAACTCGCTGAGTCCACTCTCTAACTCACCTCGTCCACTCGACACTGATAAAACTGTAGAACTCGGGACTCGCGACCCAACTCGTCGAGTCATTCTTCCGACTCGCCGAGTTGCCGCCATGCAACTGATTTTTACTCGATTTTGTTTGAATCCAATGCATACAATTGATAGATCTGAGTCCAGTAAGCTGATTTACCACGTAAAGTTTCCAACTTTACGTGTACAACCTCATGAATAAGGGAAATAAGGCTAAAAGATGCACAAAATGGGTAGATCTATGGTTATCATGCAATATAACTCCAAAAAGATAGTAGATCTGGGCTCTACAACACCCCAACATTCAGATCCATAGCTATTTCGACTTAATAAGACGTTCATGCAAGTGTAAGGCTTGGAACAAGCATCAACTAGCTCTTAGGAGAGCTCTAATGGAAGTTTAAAGCATATAACAAGATGGAACTCCGAAAATACCTCAATTAACTCTGATTTGGCCTTGGATCTTTGCACTACAACACTTCTCCTTGCTTCTTCCTTCTTCTCCTTCTTCACACCTTCACAAAATGGCACCAAAACACATATAAGCTCTTCAAGGGAGGACTAGGGTTCTCTCACTGTGTTCTCAGGGTGAGGGAGGCGAGGATGGGGGCTATAAGGTGGTATAAATAGTGGGCAACCCGGGGATTTAGGGTTTCGCCCAGACAGATGGACTCGCCGAGTCAGGGATATGGACTCGCCGATTCCCCGGCTCACGCGTGCCTTCAGGCGCGACCTACTCGGCGAGTCAAGCTAGAACTTGCCGAGTCCCTCTTGAAAACTCACTACAATT